TGTTAAATAACAAAGGCAATCGCCTACCGACACTCCAAACAAAAATAAAATATAATACTAATTTTTCTATTACAAAAAAACTATGGACTGTACACTAATCCTTATTCAATACGTTTGGTTCCCTAATTTAAGCAATGCATTTCAATTTCAATAGTTAAACTTCGTTTTCAAGGTTACTTCTTTAATGGTGTCATTTTGCTTTCAATGATTTTACGCCTTTGCAAAAACATATTGTAGACATGTTCGTTGTCATTCTAGTAATCTCAATTTACATACTTGGTTACATCGGTTTATTTTTCGCTGATGTAACACAAAAGATAGTTACATACATAAAAATAATTCCTTTTTCCTTAACTAACCCTAAGGTCGTGTCACGATATTTTCTAGATAATGCTTTATAAGAATAACAAACTTACGAGTTCTAACTTTGCGTACGATCTTTGAACTCGGCTCTGTGACGTTCGATTACATACTTCTATAATTTTAATCATTATATTGTCTGCATACGAAAAAAATATCAATATTACAACAGCAACCTTTAATTAATTAACGATATGTACACCGTGGTAGCCAAATGGTTTAATCTAGAGATGGTGGTTTCGGATCCGCTCACACCACTGAGTTTTACAGTATTTATGTACAAAATTTAATATTAAATTTACCATGAGCTTTTACGATGAACAAAAGCATCGTTATAAAACCTGCACATCGAGGAAGGTTCAGAACCATCGAAAAATGTGTGCTCTATTCTCATTGGGCCAGCGTGGTGGTTATGGCTTGAGAGGAGACCCAAGCCCAATAATGGGACGTATAAATGGGTAGATGATGATGAACTATCACATTTACTCAAAGAAATGGCTACAGTGCCTAATTTCTGATTCCTAGTCAATGAGGTAACTCAGACGCCACAATTTTTTTATGTAACCAGTGTTCTTGAACAGTATCTATCTACTTTTGTTATCATGCCAAGCATCGATCGTAATATATAAGCTATGGCTAATGAGTACATAAAAGGGTAGTCTGTTCAATAACCAGTATGGAAATTTTCATTTGAAGCCGGGATTAATTCCGAATGACCGAAATGTTTAAAATACCTAATACAACTAAAAATAATAAAATACCTAATACAACTTTTTAGTCATAACTATGTCTACGTCTGTGAGGCAAAAGTATCTATTTTAAACAACTAGTGATAACGTATTGCGACACACGACGACGATTTCTGTTGACTCCTTTAGTGGGTCAGTGTATCGAAATGTGAGTTAGAGCGTTCGATTGAGTGCCTAATAGGTACACGAACCGGTTCTAACAAAATTTAATGAGCTGGTATTTATTGCCCAAACTTGTCAACAGCATTAACGTAAAATTTGTTTAATATGCAGAGACTTAGACAATTAAGATTTCATACTGGGGTCACGTGTTACACGATGTCTATCTGGTCCCTACCATTTACAATTTAAAATCATGATAATAAATAAGTTTTTTTTTTATTACGATAACAGGGCCTTACAATCTTTTAGGCAGAAAGTTAACGATTACAATGAGTCTGAAAGATAAGCCGCTAACGGCCAGTTCGAAAATCAGCCTAGGTTACTTTAAAATTATAGCAGTTCTGTTTACCTACCTCTTGATAGCGGAGTTATCACTAACAACGGCCACACACACACACACACACACCCACAAACCAAACACACATAAAAGCAACGTGTTACTTTGTTTACACAATAGGAAAGTACTTTTTGAATTTTAATAGTACCTACTTAGGTACTACGCATGAAATTAATTACGATTTAATTTATTATGTAATTGCATTAATTTACGGGTACGTCGTTAAGAAATCAATCATTATTCTTTTCGCGTGAGTAATAAATATTAAACGTTAGGTTTCAAGAAGGCTTTGCTTTATTGATATGTCATGAATTAATCTGACCGATACAGATTTAAAATATCAGCCGTCCCAAACGCTATTTGAGAATTAGGTGAGTATCAGACAGTTTTAGAATGGGTGTAAAAATAGATTAAAAACAGTGATTGAGAAAGTGTGGCCACGAGTGTTGGGCGTGCTGGGGAATGCTCCGTCATGTTACGCAGAGTATGACCGGAGATGAACTAACTCATGTTTACAATATTTGTTTCAACGTCAGTCAATCGTGCGATGGACTTGATGTGGCTTTTTGTACCATCTGCTCCCACAGTGCACTTACAACGCTACCAAATCTTAGTATGGCAAGACTTGCTTCAAACTGACAGAGGTCTCGGAAAATAAAGTCAAGTCCCAGGGTGACGGGCGCAGTGGCAGTGCCCCTCAGATAATTGCGATTTAAAGCTCTGAGTTTTCGCGATTGTTACACATAGGAAATGAAATTATTTTTCCGGGTTTAAATCTGTTTGTTTTTGTTGACGGTGTTTTGAAAAACACAATTTTATGAAAAACAAGATTGACTGTACAACCGTGACCATGGGACCTGTAAAGGACCCTCCACGTCGATTTGTTTGAAAAAACAAATATACGCGATTTAAATCCGGAAAAATTGTTTCATTTCTTAAAAAATAAGTTGATCATTGACCTACCAACAAAGTCGATAGTCTGTTTATTACAAATTTGCTCGATTGGATCGTGAAAAAAGTCGTGCAAATCAATCGATCGAGCAAAAGTTACGGATATTTGTGAATGTTTAGAAACAATACCTCTCGCTAACAGTGATAAAATATCTTGACGCAGATGACAATGTGAGAGACCCGTACGCAGCAGTGAGACGTTATATACAATGGCTAATGATGATGATGATGATTTTTCAGATTAATAAATATTGTTGGTTATTAAAAGTGTACAAAGTGTATTGAAACGTGTTGTCAAGCGAATCTATTTATCTGCAGAGTGCTTATCAAAGGTCTTTGTAAGGCTTAGAAGGTTGTATTAAATAAATTGCGACTTTGTCTACACTTATTAAACTGTAATAGCATGACATAAGGGCACCAATACACTAAAGTGAATTACAAAATAAAAGGAACAAAGTGCGGTCTGTTTCTACATTGTATAATATGTAATAAACAACACAACCGTTCATAACCATCATCAGCTCGAGGAAGACGGTTTGAGTATTACTCATTAAATAGCTACAAGTTAAAACTGGCATGAACTTCAACAACAGACAGCCATGGTGAAACAATATTCAGTTAATCAATTTAATTATAAAAAAAACTTTGTATTAAACAAGCGAATACAACTAAAGAAAGTTTAAATAACCAGGTGACCATAAAATGCAATATTAACATTAGCTATATGGGTAAAAATTGTATGTTACGATTATACTTGACTACTACAATAACAATAATAGCGTCTTTTATTTAGTAAATATAAATATAGCAAAAGAATTTACGACTTTGGTAGAGCTCCTTATGAAAGTGTACGTCCAGGAAGTACCTTACCTATTTCTGCCGCCAAGCAGTAGTGTGAGCATTATGGCGTTCCGGTTTTGATGGGTAAGGATGCTGGTGAACTTACAGGCTCAGGGGACTTGTCAACTTATGTCTCAGGGTGACGGGCGCAGTGGCAGTGCCCCTCAGATCTTCAGATCTTTGCGATTTAAAGCTCTGAGTGGCACTGCAACTGTTATGGACAGGCGTGTAGCTTATAACCACGCACACGAATTGTTCGTCCCGTCATTTTGTATCATAATAAAAAAAGTAATTAATAATACTGTACTCAGAAAGCATTAGTGTTTTAATTTCGAAATTTAACAGGATAATTTTATACGTTATTGTTCACAATATGTTTAAGGAAGACTTGTACATGCTTATAGTGGCAACAACTTTTCCGCAAACAATAATCAGCTGTTACTGTTACTTCCTCTCGCGGAATACAGCTGTGTTGCGACACTATGAATAAAAATAGTGGACTAAACATGCCAGTTCCACTATGTTATATTTACAGAACCGCTTTTTGTAAAGCTATTATAAAAAATTTACGTAATTATACGTTACATTTAAAAAAAATATTCACTAATATTTTTTAAACAACTAGAAATTTCAAGCAGGATAGGACAGTATTTTTTTTATGTAGGGACTTATTTAATTTATATAGAAGGAAGTCCAATAAACGCTTCTAACTTCCTTTGTTTATTGCTTTACAAGTATCAATGACACATTATGCATTGAGCGACCATATTGTTAAAAAATGGTGTCGTTCAAGACAAAGAGATAAGTGAAAATGCATTACTTTGTTTGCCGATGCACATGCATGATAAAGCAGTTTATGTCTCTATCTTTATTTTGGTACCTTACGAACTTCTTTCTCATTTCGGAAAGTAGTTACACCGACTTTAATGACTCTGTGCCTAATTATGGACTACACTTGGTATCGTTGAACCTACCGGTTATTCATAAATGCCTACTGTCCCTGTACTCGTTAATATTTTTAATAAACATGCAACAAGTTCTTTTTTACATTTTCAATTGTCGCATGAAGGACGGTTTACTTAAAATTTTAAACTCTTAATTAGTTTTCTTATGTTACTTTAACTTTTCCACGAAGTCATTTTTTTGCGTCCAGACAAAAACTAGATATCTTTTCTTGACTTTTGAATTTAACTTTGAATGTAGTGAATATTTTAAACATAATTCATTAAACATAGGTCATAAATCTGAGAGCCTTGGTAATATTTAGATAACAATAGTTCAGTGCACATAAACATGTGCAAATTGTAATTTCGCCAAGCACACAAACTAAAATTAAGCACCAAATACAAAAAGATTTGTTGTAGTATCAAATAGGCACATAGTTTGGCCGAATCCGATGCAATTCGCTGTGCAGCGGGGACGCTGTTGGCGAGCGATGTGTACCCGCTAGGCACCCACCCGCCCTGCACGTGCTAAGGCCGCCGGGAAGTTTCCACACCCGCTGCACCTCCCGACACTTGCATCGCGAGCGTCTCTCTTTTTATCCATTTCCAAAACGCCCCCGAAATCCTAAATTATTTAATATATATTGTTTACAATACCTGGAATATCCCTTGAAGATCGCGTGGCGGACGTAAAACCGATCGTGATTGTTATTAATGTACTATCCGAGCTGTCCCGACTCGATCGTTACGCTGTACGGTCTAGAGATTGACTGTTTGGTCGGCCGAAGCGGCGGAGAATTTATGCGCGCGCAACTACACGCGCGTGCGTCGTGGTGGGAGCGGTGGTGAGAGCTCATGACGTTGACACTGAGAACTTATGACGTACGTACGTACGAAACTTGAGAACGTCACCGGCCGATTCACAAGGCACTTATGTTCGCGTTCAGTATTCAAATGTTCGTCTCTTCTGTAAAGTTCAATGAACTTAATATTGTCAGCAGTTAAATGATATAATATTTTGATATAATATATACATAATCAATAGGTACCGCAGTAATTCCTGTAACCGCTGTAATCAAGAACTCGAATGGCAATTCTCGCACTCAAAACGGTTCGAACCGATTTGTAGGATAATCGTATGAACTTGAAAAGCTGTCATACGAGATCGTGTTTTGACAAGTCGAGAACTCGTACGCAAGAAACTTCTTACTACATATTCCTCTGTGTAAACAATCGAGGAGGCGATTAAGTTGCTTGCGAGTCTCGTATGACATAATCGTAGGCGAGATCTTAGTTCTTACCTGAATGTTAACATTATGATACGATAATCTTATGGCAATTAATGCTTGCGAGAATCGCATACGATTTTTCGTCACGAAGCGTACAATAAACTCGTTCCATCTAAATGGGCCTTTACTTCGTTTGGTTACGGGAGCGAGATAGGGACCCACCGGAGGGTCCCACACATCCATTGGACCTCGGGACTCAATTACATTGTAGAATTGAGCTAACGAGCAGAGGATGTTACGCTTCAATATGTAGTTACATACCTACATAGAGACTCGAATTGACCTTTTGTAGATAACTATAACCATGTATATAATACCACTAAGTAACTGGATACCGTACTATTCTCATGATTATATATTTAGATAAGAAATTTAGTTTTTTCTTTGGAATTTAACTTTAAAAGTTATATTATATAGTTATATACTTATAAGAAACAGTTCTGTAACTTTTGTCTTTCTGTGTAAACTCACACTGAGATAATGTTAAAGTGGAATGAAAATACCTTATTGCGACCGTTAACCAACTCACAACACATCATCATGAGGCCAATATACTTATGTTGGCCTCGCTGAAGGTGTACACGAAGTTATTTTTATAATGTTCGATTTTCAATTTTCTGCTTCATCACTATGGATTTCATGAAACAATGAAAATAGATTGGAAGTATCCAAAGTATCTAAATTTAGTTATTCAAAGATAAAGAAGTTTCCGCTCTAGTTATATGTGTGATTCATACAAATAGAGAAAGGAAAATACGGTATTCCGAGATTAAACGTAGATAATTTTAAATACTTTTTAATAATCGTAGCAATGGTAGTGCATAAATTATACAAGAAATCTACCATGCAAAAATAATAAAACATTGTGAAAAGTTCACGATTTCAAATATAAGGTAGGTGGCTAGTCGATTGCTCAGACCCTGATAAAACCGATTCTTTCTAATCGCAGTACGACTGCCACAATGGCGCAGCGGTTAACACTGTGACGCTAGATGAAGAGGTCGTGGTTGCTATTCCCAATAGGACTAATCTGGATAATTAACTATTTTTAAATTAGTTCTTATGTCTAGGGTCTCGAATGTTCTCGATTGTGCCCCGGAGTTAATTTCTTTAGTATTATACTTATGGTACAGGCTTTCCCTAGTTTGAGACCAGGTCCTACATACTCTACTATTATTAGTGTGTAGAGTAGTGGGAAGATAACTTCCCACATAGGTACTGCGTGTAGGTAATGTCTTGAGGTAACTAAATTAACCATGTGAATTAAAATAAAGAAAAAGCACCTCTCAACCGTTGTACAAACTTAAAGGTGAATTTTCGTGTTTTTTAATTTAAATTTGTTGAAATGTTTTCACATTGTTCATAATTACGGAAGAAAAAAACAATGGAAGTGCGTTAAACCTTGATTATTATCAGAACCGCTGTCACCAAAACGCATACAAACAAATGATAAACACTATGAAAATTTGATAATAGCCCCCTTTACACAGTCACTGCATCGCGCGTAATCCTGAGCGTATAGGATTGCGCGTGGGAAAGCCTGCAAGCGCAATCGCGTTTAAAAATTTTTTAAGCTAACGTTCTTTCGCGCGCGATTGCTCGTGTTTGTTTGTTACAACGGAAAGAGCGTCCGTGTAAAGCCTAATAGTGCAGGATAGATCATGTGACACTGGCGCGCGTTGGAAAGCGCGAATGCGCGCGACTGTTGAGCGCAATCGCGTCTATCCCTTTTCCTTCCAACGTCTTTACAGCAATCGCGCTGTATCATATCGTATCTGCGTAAAGTCCGCTATTGATTGGTCGTCGTTTCTAATTTAAAAAGATTTAACACATTCTGGACTGTTGACATAATTTAAACTACTACCTTTAATGTAAGTTACGACGTTTTGATTTTGTATTTAAATTTTATTCAACGTGCTCTTCATCTTGCGGCCAGTAGTTGGACTACGACGAAAGACTAACATCTGAACGAATAGAAAGAAGTATCTTTTCGACAATACATGTCTTCTTTAACGCACACATCACATTGTAAACTTTATTACGATAAGTAAGTTTAAAATTAACATAACATTCATGAAGCATTTTTTCGCTTAGCTTTTGTTCGGTACTAGTGTGGAAAATTAGCGGTGTTTACTTAGTTCTCTAAAAGATTAAAACTCGGTCATATTGTACTGGGATAATGTTTACTTTCGTATGTTTCAGTAAAAAAAAAAATCCATAAGCAGAAAATTTATTAAAATAAATATGGCATTTTTCTACGAAATTAGAGAATTTCCGCGAAAGAATTGACACAAACATAACGTAGAATGAACTGAAGCAGGTGGAACTACGGCTGCAGTTGCTACGCGAACTAACTATTTGTACCATATTTATTGTACTTTGGTCATAATGTTTGTCTTTGTATTTAACACTAACGAAATCCAGTTTCTGTCCTCTCGTATTGCCATATTTTATTAGGTGTATAGATACCAGTTAGAATTCGTTTGCAAACGTGACTCTTTGTTATTGACTTGTAGGTTACTTACTAAATTATAGCATATTAAATGAGGATGTCATGTTCTTTAAGGACGTAGGAACATATACATATACATATCTACCTGTCTTTACAGAGTACTACTTCCAGAGTACTAAAAAACCGACCTCAAAATTTCGTGAAATTACATCTATTTGCCAAGTTTTATTGAAATTGGTTATCGAACGGTGCGAAACCGGATTCATCCCCTAGTTTGCCACCCTTAGAGGTGGAATCTTTTCTCCAAATTTAAGTCGGACCTCGACGACTCTTTCCAACAAAAAAAAAATCAACAAAATCGGTTCACAAATGCCTTCAGTTATCGCGTAACATACATACAAAAAAAGTCGAATTGAGAACCACTACCTTTTTTTAAAGTCGGTTAAAAATTTAGAAAAACGTGCATAAAAATGATGAAAAGGTGCACCTTTTTTCTCCTAAAAGCTTTCGTGGTGCGCTTTGATAAAAGTAATCACCGTCTTCAAATGTTCTTATAGGAATGTTTGAAAAATGAGGTGGTGTAATTGTATTTTATCCTTCGAAAAACCGGTTAGTTTGTTTTGAAGGAATTAATCATCTCCTGTTGAAATCTGTTATAAAAAATAAACTAAACTTGGTAGTTAGTCTACGAATCAATATTATGATAATCGAAATCCTAACATTCCTAGCGCGTTTAGTAAATACACAGAACTAGTTATGGGCCTATCTATAAATGTGGTAATTATGTACCTACATCGCCTACTAATAGTATAATATGGCAGGTGTACGTACACTCATACTCATATTACAATTGGCTTTAGCTAGACATCCTCCGGTCCCTCCAGTCGCGTAGGAATTTGAGAATTGGAGAGACGCCGTCCATTCGGCATAACGAGATGTGAGCATGCCTACAGCTCCGGTACCTATCTGGAAAATAGGGTGGGTACTGTACGTGCACCCGTGTCGGCTCACCTAAGGCACTATAGTCCATTTGTTTATGTACTTAACTAAATGTAAACAGTCTTGATACATCTTTTTATTGAAACATATACTTTACAAATCAATAGAATTAAAAATAGGCACGCAATTTCATATGAATCTAAGTATTTGTATTTTGTATTTGAAGGTAAGTAAAAATAATTTTATAAATGTATATTTCATTAAATAGACTTCTCAAGATTGTTTACACTTATTTAAGTACCTAAAGAAATGGACTATAGCCTTACAGAGAACCGGATGAAGTCCGTCCAAATGGGCTGATCTGGGGTTAGGACCTTACTTACATGGTTCCGTGCGGGTTATAGTGCCCTTCCAGCACTACCAAGAGATTGATAGGGAGGGGCACTATGAACAAAACTTATGTAGAAAGATATGGGGCAGGCCTTATGACTACACAAAAAAAAATTTTATACTCCACAGTGTTTGATGACCCGCTTACAGAAGGAAGAAGAACTTAAAGTGGAGCTGGGCAAGACATTTTGCGAAACGTGGTGAAGACAGACGGGGTAATACGATAACCAAATGGTGGACAAGTAATGGTTATAGAAACTTTTTGTAGCAACATGGGTGGACAACAAATAGCACAGGCTTGTGGTGAACGGCACAAAGCAAGGGCGGCCTATACCAAGCAGTGGGCGAAGTCGGGCTGTGATGATGATGATCCTATTTCAATCGATGCGAGAGTGTTTTGACCTTGCATTTACTTCTTTTTTATTTTTTTTCTGTTCATACACTCGTATTTGTCAATCTGATTGTACATGTTGATCAATTTTGAGATATTAATCATTTAGGCGCGTATACTCGTTATCGTGATAGGAGTTAAAAGTGACCCTTAAGTGGTATCAGGCTCTTCATTGCGGATTTTTGTAGCAATTACTTATTCCTATCATTTTCGTGGTTCTTAGTAGTGATAATACTCATAAAGAGTGTAGATATAGTGATATCATTCACAACGGTAATGCTATCTGTCTACAAATCAAGAACAAGCAAATATACCGACAAGAGATTATAG